GTATGGGGGGGGAGTACCTGCTCACCCTTGTGGCCCCAGGCCTTCCCCAGGGGAGAGAGACCACTTCACATTGATGTTTTCTGTGAAGTAGCTTCATGCTACACTCAATCAGCAGTAAGCAGCACTCAGATGCCTCCTGAGGTAAGCATCACTGCTGGCTTGCTGCAGTGGCTGCCAGCACCAGGTCATCTGGGCTTCACCCTGGAGGTGGCAGCAGCAGCATAAATAGCCCTGGGAGATTTAGATGCTTCTATGTCCATCAAGAACACGTAATTTCTCTGCCTCTTGCATGCCCTTCCCTGCTTACCCAACCCGAGAGCTAGTCCCAAACAGGGCAGCACAGCTTCTGCTGCCCTTGCAAAGCAGGCGGAGATGTTCAGCCCTGGGAAAGGCTTCAGAGCATTTCCCTGAGCCCAACTACACCACAACCCCCCGCCAGTCTCAGCAGCCCGAGGCACTGAGGTGCAAGACAAGAGGCAGACCCTCACCCCAAGGCTCCAGCCCCCCCACAGCCTTACCCTGAGGGTGCTGCCACACTCATGCAGTCCAGCCATGAAGGTCACCGTGGTCTCAGCAGCACTCCAGACTACAGGCAGGCAGGCAGCTGGGCCCAGGGTCAGCTCTGCAGCCTTGACCAGGCGCCCCGTGCCAAAGAGGTCCCTGTGCACAGTGACCACCACCTGGGCCTCCTGGCACTGCACAGCCACGGGGTGCAGCAGGGAAGCAGCCTGGAGCTGGGAGACATCCACCCACACCCAGGGAGAAGGCTGGGGAAAGGCATGGAGCTGCCTGGAGGAAAGATCCCCCCCATAACCCCATAGCTCTGCCTCCCCTCTAAGGAAGCCCCAGGGGCTGTAAGCAACCACCTCTCCAAAAACCCAGCAGAAAAGAGCAAACCCTAAGCTGCCTCCAGGCCTCATCTTGCCTACCAGGGTGTAGCACAAGGAGAAGCTGCTGCCCAGGGACCTTTTATAGCCCATACCTCCCACAGCCGCTCCCACCCCAGGTGACGTTCAGCACACCTCTCAGAAGGGCTATTGGCAACAGCTGGGAGCACCAATTCCCTGGGGAACCCATCCTGGTGGGCGCTAATGAGCTAATGAGGTGCTGGATTGGGTCTCTTGCCCACAGGAGAGATGCTGAGTTTGCTGTGCAGCCAACTGCAGTTTTTTCCTGTTTTTTTGGTAACAACCAGCTCTGTAAGATCCACAGAGATGAAGATCCAAACCATATGCCCCATCTCCAGATCATGGGGCCCTTCTGCAGCAGGGTCGCTGCGGGATGGCACGGGGGGGTGACACTTTCCCAAGGCAAACCCACTCTTCAGATGCCCAAACTTGTCCCTGTCCCCAGCTCCTTCCAGGTGGTGATGATCCTCGTGGAGCTGCTCACGTCAAGGGCAGCTGGGGATTTCCAGGACGTGAGAAACTCATGGCTGGCTCTTCACTACTGAGAAAAAGTTGATTTTTTGGAGGAAGAAGGGGAAATTTAAACTTGAATCAAGTGGAAGGATAAAAGGAAAAGGGAGAGTCATGGAGGAGATCCCCATCGGTTGCCCTGAACCGCATCCCTGCTCCTGCAGGACAACACTCCACACGATGGCGTCCACATCAGCGCTGCCGCCCGTGTTCCCTTGTGTTTCCTGGGATTTTAGCAAAAGGGAGGAAAATGCTGGCGCACATGCGGCTGTTTAACTGTTTCCTGAACAGACTTGTCCCCTGGGGCCACCACCTTCCTGGGCAGGACTGGTGTTGAAATGAGTGGTAGTAAAATCATGAATACAATAATCCTTAACAGGAATAATAGTAAAGCTATTAGATACTAGAAATAATAATTATTTCTAATAATGATTAGAATTATTAGACCTGGGGCAAAACAGTCCCCGTGGTGTCTGGGCAGTCCATCCCTTCCTGGGATGATTCAGCAGCAGGTTGTCCCCTTGGTGGTGCCCAGAGGGAGGGGACCGGGGCAGGCTGACCCAGCTGAATCACCCTTCAAACCTCCTTGTGCCTGGTTAGAGGCTGTAAATCAGGAGGAAGAGCAGTCTGTGTGTTGAAGTGACACTGGGGAGGAGCATGGCTTTGGACAGGAGTCCTTGTATGGGGTTTTAGGGACAGCGCAAGGATGTTTGCTTTGCTACCACCTCTGGGTGAAAGTTGGTGTGCTGATTGCTCACGCAGGTGAGGACCAGCTGAGATGCCCACAAACTTTGGGTGACAGCTGTGGTTGAATCAGGCTCTTTTGGCATGATCCAAACTGGACAGCTGACGGTGGGCAGGACAGCTGTGCACCATCCGAAGGGAAATGACTTGGGTCGTTCCCACGGGGAGCAGGCTGACAGGCTTTCTCGGCACCTCCCTGAGCAAACAGGACCTCTTGGTGCTCTCTTGCTTGTCTTCAAGCTAACATCTATCTTGGGGATAGCCACATGTCTCACGTACACGGGTCATCCCGTGCTCATCGTGCTCATCTCAGTTGCGTTGTGGGCTCAAGGGGCCATCACACTGCAAAACACCCATCACCGCAGCACCCACCACCCTGCACACCTGCCTTTTCAAGCAGGTGGGTATTGTGGGAATGGGGACCAAAAGGAAATCATTTGCAATGCACAACAAATGAGGGAAATGATTTATTTCTTCTGCGTCTGTAGGCAGGTGCACGAGCCAAAGAGCAATGAGGCACATCCGCAGACTAAGCAGTTCCCTGGTTGTCTTTGAGCTTGGAAAGCAGACGAAGAAGTAGGACCAAAGGATGATTTGCAGTTCTTCCCACAGCCATGCCCCACACAGCAGCTCATGGGAACACAACAGCTCTGCCCAACCTGCTTCCTAGCAACAACGACCATCCTTGGTCCTTCTCAAAGCTGTCCAAGGAGAGAATATCGCTGTCTGCCAAGGTACGAAAGACATGTCACCCTTCAGATGTGGGGCTGTCCACCCCTGCAGTGAGTGCAAGGGCCGACGGTCCCCCGATCGGCATCACCAGCTGTGCTGAGAGGTGGCCCTGGACAGCCAGCAAGGTGGGCAGAGAGCAAGCAGGGAGCAACCCTGCCCTTAGGGTCTACCTGAAAAAGGACCAATTCCCCCTCAAGCCACAGATATGGAGTACACACTGGGCAGAATCCTATGGAGGAGAGGGGACCAAAATGCAGCATCATGTAGCCTAAGAGTATGCAAGCAGTTGAAGGAACATAGTCTGGGTTCTCCATCAATCTCCACCAAACATCTTGTCTTTGAACAAGACAATGCACTGGGACATAACTGTCCTCCTGGGAGGTCTATGGATATGCTGCAAAATGCCCTGCCTCGATGTCTACACCCTGTAAAGTCTACCCATGGTTTCACCACTCTGGATGCCGCTTACATGAGTGCCATCTGGCACGTCTTCCAGCAGGCTGTCCTCCTTGGCGAGAGTCAGGGGGGGACACCAAACAGCTGGGCCCAGGCTGGTCCAAGCAGCTTCGCTGCTGCAACACCATCTTGTTCCACCCGTCGTCGCTGTCTTCAACCTTCCTCACTTTCACCGGCGATGTCAGGACATTTGCATTTTGGACTTTCTTCCTCTCTGCAGGGGTGGAGGTGGAGACGTAAGTGTTCAAAGAGGAGCCCCATGAAAGCAGCCCTGCATGGTCAGGGATGGAGATGTCCTTTGCCACTAGAGCACAGCTGACCAAGCTTGATGGCACGGGTTTGTCCCTGCCCAAAGCAAGCGCCCTGCTTGCCCAGGTGGTCTCTGCTGCTGCGGGGTCACCCAGCACCACATTCTCATTTCTAGCATGAAGCCCCTGGCTCTCCTGGGTTGTGGCCACTGCAACCACCTCGGTCAAAGTCCCCTCTCTGCCTGACATGGGTCAGGAAAACCTTCTGCTTTGCTTAATGGCTGCAGAGGAGAAGATGGGAACCTCCCCTTCTTGAGCTGGGGGAATTACTCATCTTTATCTTCTTGCTTCAGCCCTGAGGCTCCCAGGCTTTGCAGGGCTTGCAGACAGGGCTCGGCCCTTCTGATCCTAGGCCGGGGTGGCTGGGGACATGCTCTGCAGTGGGGCAGCCTGCGGGCCTCCAGTCCTGGTCCTGTGGTGGCTCTTTTGTCCCAGGCAAAGGCAGGCGGGTCTGATGCTAGACAGGGTCCTTCATGTGCTATGGGACTGGAAACCAGAAGAGAGCTTGCCTTCAACATCGCTGAAGGCCACTTCTGCTTGAGTGAGGCACTGCCCTTCTTGTGGGAGAGAAGTCTGCCCTGGCTCTGCAGTCCTATGCTTAGCCAGCTTGGCTGATCTCCTCTTTCAAAAGAGAACTTGGAAAGCAGCAACCAAATGCCAGAGCTCAAGCAACCTTGCGAAGGCTGGGGGTAGCCCCAAATTCCTGTCGGGTAAGGGCAAAAATCCCAGAGCAAAGGAAACCCAGGTCTCACGTGGTGAGAGTTTTCTGTGGCTGGAGCTGGGGTGGCTTCTGAAAGAATTAAAATGCACTGAGCTGAGAGGAGGGCGAGCAACGCTGGGGACGTCTGAGAGCAGCAGAAGGTGCAGGTGGCTCTGGGGCCACTTCCTTGGAGGGTCACCTCTTGGAGATGCTACCGAGGCCGAAATCCAGCAGTGAGCTCGCAGGCTGGGCTGGAGAGGTGCCCGTTCTGCCTGGCCACCCACCAGCTCCTTCACCCACCCTTGCACTAAAGCCTCTCCTCCACCTCTCCCATATGGGTTTGCTGCCCTCCCACCCATCGCAGACCCATAAGCCAGACGGTCACATGTGCTGTGAAGGAAAGAAGAAAGAAAATCAGTAGGATCACGCTGTTCCCAAGCAAGTTATTGCCACGCAGCAGTAAGGGCTTGTTCGCAGGGGAGATGCTGCCTTCCCAAACCCAGCAGAAGACCAATGCACCGCTCATTCCAGGAGGATTTATTGGCATAGCAAGGTGAGATGGAGAGCCCGGTCCCCATAAAGGCCTTGAAAGGGTTTTCCAAGCAGCCGCAGTCCATGGCAAGCATTCTGGTTCGCAGACCCTCACTTCTTCCTCCGCTTCTGAAGTCTGGTGCTGGGCTTCCCACCACGCTTGCTCCTAGCGGGGTGCCTTGATCTGGGGCATTCCCCCTCGGAGGCTGGGCTGGAGGGCTCCGAGAGCACTGGGCTGGTGGGGGGGTTGGCAGGAGGGCGTCTGGTGGTGGAAGGGGCCGCAGCAGCCGCTGGGACCCGTGGTTCATGCTGCTGCGGGGTGTTGGGAGGGAATAACTCCAGCAAGTCGGAGGGCAGTGATGGCCATTCCATCTCTGCGGTGGGGGGGTCTCGTGGGGTGGCCACGGGCTGCAGCAAGGGTGCCACAGTAGAGGCGATGGTGGCCAGGGAGCGGGACATGGCCCGGATCTCCCGGGTCACGGATATCAGGTGACTGTTCGCCCTGCGCTGAGCTTGCAGGAGGCGATTGCTGATCTTCAGGAGCTCTCCTGCCTGCTGCACGTTGGACCTGGTCCAGCCACTAAAATCTTCCCGCAGGGAGGCCAGAGAGTCCTGGATGCTCCTGGGAAGAGGCACAGTGTCCCCATGGGCTGACCCCGAGACTTCCTCTGCTTGTTTATCCCTCTGCATCGGAAGGACTGGAGGTGCGGGCTGGGTGGGGGACATATCCCCTCCCTGGTCTGGACACACATGTCCTCTGCCACCGGAGGGGTCCGACACGGGAGCACAGGTCTTGTGGTGGGCAGGCAGCCTCGTGGGAAGACCTCCATGCAGTTGGCAACGCTCCCCAGGAGGCTCAAGGTCGAGGATCAGGGTGGTCTCATCATCGGATGGGCAGTCGTGCTGGGGAGTGGAGGTACCTGTCGTGGGGAGAGAAGCTGAAGGGAACAGGAGGGGAGAATCAGGGCTCAGAGGGTCCTCCCAGCCTGCTACAGTGACAAAGGGACGATGCCTACCATGCAAGGAATAGAGTGGGAGGCAGCTTGTCTCCAGGAAACCCCAGGCTCCATCCATGACATCATCCCTGGACTTGTCTGTGGACCATCCATAGCCCATGAACTCACCCACAGAATCACAGAATGGTAGGGGTTGGAAGGGACCTCTGTGGGTCATCTAGTCCAAACCTCCTGCCGAAGCAGGGTCACCTACAGTAGGTTGTAGAGGACCTTGTCCAGGTGGGTCTTGAATATCTCCAGAGAAGGAGACTCCACAACCTCCCTGGGCAGCCTGTTCCAGTGCTCCGTCACCCTCAGAGGGAAGAAGTTCTTCCTCATATTACGACGGAACTTCCTGTGCCTCAGTTTGTACCCATTGCCCCTTGTCCTGTCACTGGACACCCTGGGGAGCTCAGTGTTGGACATCCACAGAGGGCCAAGGAGGACACTGGTCATAGCCCAGGTCTGAAGACAGCAGCAGGGGGATGGAGCAGAAGACCCTGCAAAGTCTCTTCATCCCATCGGTTTTTTACCCCTCATTTTCTGGAAGGATGCTTCTGATCAAACCTGGATCCTCCAGCACACCATCCCTGCCTTCACCATTCCCAAACCACCAGCATCTCCACCACAGTGCTGCTGCCAAGAGCTGGGGGAAGACCTGGGCAAACCCAGCAGCGGCTGTGGACCTCTTGCCATCCCTGTCGAGGAGTGCTCCCAGGGAACATTTCGCCTTCCTGGTTGGACACGCCATCCCCAGGCAGTAATCACAACCCAAAAGGGGAATTGCCCCAGATGGCTGTGGACAAAGGTTGAACAAAGACAAACTGGCTGTAGGTCTGAGGAGCAGAAGTGGTCAGGGGGTGGCAGGACACTAAGGCCTGGAGGATGGTTATAAGCCCTGAGGGACCTGCATGTGTCGCCAGGACAAACATTTCTCAGAGAGAACGTGGAGTTGATCCAGCCCTTCCACCTGCTTCCTCCTTGCCAAGACCAGCCTCGGCGAGACCTGCTCCATGCGCCCCATCTCCAGCTGCCACTCACCTCCCTTGTCCTTCAACCCGTGGTATGTCTCCATCCCAAGAGAGTCACCATGTTACTTCCCATTACAACCACATTTGGGGGACCACCATAAGGGCAAGAGGCGAGCATTGTGTTGGCAGTGAGGGATGCAACACCTGCATCCCGTCCTTGGGAGAGATCGGAGGGTGCCCACCGCACCAGCAGAGGCTGGAGGCACAGGTCCATCAAGTCACCACGCAGAAGGAGACTCGAAACCCACGCAGAATATGGTCTTAGATTAGGGATTAGAACCTTTAACTCTGCTGTCGCTCCCCCTTCCCCAGTGTGCCTGGCCACGCGCCTCCTCACCTGGGTGCCCGGTGACGCGCTCCACCAGCGCCTGCAGCCTGGCCCTGCACTCGGCCAAGTCCCCAGGCTGCGCTCGGTCTCCGGCCGTCGCCGGCTGCAACCGCCCGCAAGCAGCTCCTCTTCCTCCCGACGGATCAGCCGCACCAGCTGCTCCACGCGCTGCCGGATCAGCTCCCGCATCTCCCGCTGCGCCTCCTCCAGCCGCGCCGCCTCGTCCTGCAGCGCTGTGAAGGTGGCCTCGAAGATGCTTCTCTTCTGCTTCAGCTCCCGGCTGATGGTGCCCAGCTCCTCCTGCCTGCGCCGGGTCTCGCTGCGGACATCGCAGAACGGGGCGTGCTGGCTGTCCAGCAGCGCGCAGACACAGCACAGCGCCTTCTCGCACTTCTTGCAGTAGATGCTATGAGGGCAAGCACAAGCAGAGTGGTAATTTTGACCATGCCCTTTGCAATTCATTCATTTATCAAACTGCAAATTCATTAATTCATTCATTAAGTTACCACCACGTTTGGGCCAGGCGTTTTGTTTTACACTCTCCCAACTGCAAAAAAAAAGTGTTGGTTCACTATCTCCACAGGGTTTCTGATCCTCTGCCAGGCTGGCTAAAGTCACTGCGGTGGCTGAGCAAGTGTTAGGGTAGACATTCATCCACGCACCGCAAGGGTGGTGAAGAAATGAGCTCTCTACACTTCCACGAGTGCTTAATGGACTTACGTATAAGTACACAAGACCAAAGAGTATCTTAGCTCCACAAGATGCCTAAGGCAAGAACATAAGAAGTGGGGAGTGGAGATCATCACACATCACTGATTTAAGTCCTGGTAGCCTTGGCAAGTGGTGTGCTAGCGACATGCTGAGGGGTTCCATCTGGGCCATCGTGGCTAGCATCAGTGCTGGCCTCCACGGATGCTCCAGACCCTCCCCCTCTTGCTTGGACTTTTCCTTAAAGGCATTTAAATCTTGTCCTGCATTGCAGCCATGCTGTTCCCCAAATCCTCTCCAAACTGGTCTAGCACCATCAGCAAAACACACCCTTCTCTGCTGTCTGTCACAGCAGCTGAAGCAACAGGCCTTCTGCGTACTGAGCTCCATCAACCTCACTCTCCTTACCCCAGCAAGGAGCAACCCACACGCTCCCCTCCCTCGGTCTATCTGCCCCCACTCTCCCATCATCAGCTCGAACCCAGCTTCATCCAAACCCTCCTTCCATGCCCTAGAGCCCATCGGTCACTACTTCCCACCCATCTTCCCCATGACATGGTGGCAATCAAGGCAGCAGAGGGACAGGGACACCCTGCTCAGTCCCATCATGGACTAGCCCAAAGAGATTTTTGACAAGAAATCACCCAGACAGGGACAGACCTCCTTAGACCCACCTTACAGTCTGGCTCTTGTGGGTCGGGTTGGAGCAGGACAAGTTATCTGTCCTCCTGGTGTCCTCGAGAAAGTCCTGAGCAGACCCTGCCCTGATGTCCACCACCTTCTTGACCTCATGGCTCTCCCGCTTCAGGTAGCGCTGGTGGGCCTCGAAGCACTTGGTGCAGAGGAACTCCTCACACTTGGAGCACCAGAACTCGCTGGCTTTCATGCAGTTGCTGCAGAACAAGTCAACTCTGTCAACGATGTTCTTGTAGACCTTGAGCCTGGCCTTCAGGCTGGTGAAGAACAGATTGTCCATGTCAGGGACACTGCTGGCCTGCGGGATGGCTGTCCGGCACATGGGGCACTGCCCAACGGGCTTGTTCTCGCTCAGGCAACTGAAGCACAAGGTGTGAGGAGGTTGAGGGTGGGTGATGCCTGCTGGCAGCCCTCGCAACGCATGAACTGGAAGTCATCTTCTAGGAGCTTGGGGAGGGAGGGAGAGGGAAAGAAGAATGAGCGCTGGGGGGTGTTTTTAAGAGCTTCTGAAACCACATCCTGGGGGGAGAGGTGACCTGAAAACCCTGCTCAGAGCAACCAGTGAGCAACCACTTCCCACGAGCAATGCCCGGGCCCTGTAAGCAGCCTGGAGATGGCCCGTGCACCCTGGCAAGGCTGAATGGACAGGACCCTGCTGCAAAGAGCAAACGGGACGGTCCCCCTGGCTGTGGGGCTGGGGGGGGCTGCACAGGGGCAGCGCAGACGATGGGGCATGGAGGAAGCATCTAAAGACCCCTGGATGCCACCCTGGTGACCAGTCACCTGGTGACTGTCCT